TTTACTGTTTTCGCTTACGCTCTGATTCCAAACAAAATTTTTCATAAGCTTCTTCTATCTCTGGGTCCATCTCATCATCAATATCATCCAAGTATCTGTAAAAGAAACAAAATGTTTTTATATTTTTTAAATTTCAAAATATTAAAGGGGTACAAACATTTTTGGTTACATGAATTGCTTTTGTAATACTTGAGTCACAGCTGTAAGTGTGCCCATCACCCAAATAGTGTTCACTGTACCTATTAGGGAGGTTTTTGCTCACCCCCTCCTCCCCAATAAGTTTTTCAATTCAGAAGATGTCTAAGATGCTAAGCCAGGAAAAAAATGTAACATAACTTTCCTAGACTGAGTTACAACAGAACTTGAGCCTAACTTTAGATTACATAAATGGCAGTCTTCAGATAACCAAATGCTTAATTTAATGACTGAAATTTTATACTAAGTCCGTGGTGTCTAAAGATTCTGCTGTACTTTTAGGTATGTTAAATTCTGTAACCTAGAAGTTAAATCAAAGGTTTGGCATACAAACTTTGGGGCTCAAGATTGATATTAATAAATTCACCTTATCAATAAATAATTATACTATAACTAGAACATACCTTTATGCCTTTAGTGATACTTTATGATGCTTTATGTCTATTTAAGTGTTATTCTTGCTAGGTTATTACCACAGTAACAGTTTAGTCACACTCCCACTTATTTGGAAGAAGACATTCATAGGAAGTTTTTTTTTCTTTTTTTTCCCCAGTCTTGCTCCGTTGTGGGGATTACAGTGCCATGGTGTCAGCCTAGCTCACAGCAACCTTAAACTCCTGGGCTCAAGCAATTCTCCTGCCTTAGCGTCCCGGGTAGCGGGCACTATAGGCAGGTGCCATCATGCCCGGCTAATATTTTTTCTACTTTTAGTTTTCTGGCTAATTTCTTTCTATTTTTAATAGAGTCAGGGCCTCACTCTTGCTGAGGCTGGTCCCGAACTTGTGACCTCAAGTGATTGTCCCACCTTGGCCTCCTAGAGTGCTAGGATTACAGGTGTGAGCCACCTTGCCCTGCTAAAAGTACTTTCAGACATCATTTATTCCAGATTTCTTCCAACTATGGAAGAGTTTTAAAAGGGTATAAAGCAAGGCTTATCATAGTTATATTTGGGGGAAAAATTTAACATGTTAATTAAGGATTTAATATATATTCTCATTGAATTCCTATAGTCATCTTAAAATATAGAATTATTATCTTCATTTTAGAGATGGAAGATTCTAGGAGGTTAAATAATATAAAATTTGGATAAGTATGTGGCAGGGCCAGAATTTGTTCAACTCCAAATCTTTTCCCTTTTTTATACTTTTCCCTCTACATGATGCTATCTACAGAGTCCCCCTCGCCCGCAGTGATCCTTTCTACTGAGAAGTGTGACAAAACTATCTTACCAATCCTACTAAATTACTGATGTGTCTTTTTCTGTTTCTTCCCCATTTCCAGCACAAGGCTATGTGTTGAAACAACCACGAGCTCATTAAAGAGAATATACTGTTTACTGAACAAAATCTTAAGAGGATAACCTGAAGTTCAATGCCAAGAACAACTTTAAACTTCCATGGTGATACCCAAGCAAGACTGAACCTTCCTACTTCTGCCTGAGTCCTTATATTATCCCTGTACTTTGTATTTGTAGATCTTAAACTGACCCATAATTAAAATGTCACTAGAATAAAGATGGTTTACTTTTTGAAACCTATAACACACAAGATGGGATGTTAAAAAAGGAAGTCACAGGGGTAATTTATTTTCCTCCCCACCTCCCACCCAATTAGGAAGAAAAGAACCTAAGAAGTTTGTCCAAATACATGCAAGTTGTTAATAGATCTGGGACTAAACCTCTCAAAAGTTATTGTTCCTACTATCAGAAAAGAGAAATGAAATCTGATGGTGAGTAATACATTAAGGGTGTCTTTACTTATAAGTGAAGAAACAGATACATAAATAGGATAACTTACATCTATCAGGCTAAATATTTCTACATAGTAATCTGTTTTCTTTGCTCTTAAATTATGTTTTCACAGCTAAGATTTGAACCTTATACTATGTGCCAAAAGGCTATCAAGTATTTTTTATGTATTCTCATTCAGATCTCAAAAAAAAGACCTCAGGGGTATGACTATTCCTATTTTATAGAAACAAGCATAGAAGCTGCCTAGGGTCTTAAAGTATTAGAGCTTCTTATTTTAAAGTCTAGGTAGAACAGAATATTTTAAAAAAATAAACTTAAAAAATAACTTAAGCATGTTTAAGTTATGTTTTAATATAGTTAGTTTCCTTGACTATAGATTTTCAGAACCAGACTTAGTTTAATATGATTTTCTGAAAATTTTTAGTATATAACATACTATATAATATACCATGATACCATCAAATCAAAATGCCATTCTTTGATGAGCTACTTTTTTCTAGTCTGATCTCTACTTACAAATGAGACATAGAAAGTTAGTAACTAAGGAAAACTTACGGATCACCAGCCCCTGATAAATCTGTTCCATTTTCTTCATAATCTGGAAAAAAGTCCTCTCTTTCAAGTAATTCTTGATATTTCTCTTGGTAATC